TAGCTAGAGAAGAAGAAGCTAGAGAAGAGAAAAAGCTAGAGAAGTCTTAAATAAAATGGAAAATATGGATAATTTTAAGTTCAAAATCAGTATTAATCAATCAAAATCAATCAAAATCAATCAAAACTGTATAAAATCTTGATACTAGTAGCTTGATAACTCAAAAACTCACCTTAAGTGATGACCTCAATAGAAATCCCGATAAAATTTTCAGAAAACATCCAAAGTTCGAAAATAGATAATAGAATAATAAAATAGATCGTACTAATGGTGAATAATTATGGAATTTCGGAAATATTGAGGCCTTTGTGTGTGGAAATTGGGATCCTTTGACTACTGCTTGCTTGCTTAGCTGTGGCTGGTCCGCGAACCGTTTACAGAAAGGGGTGACGCAGATCTGCTCTCTTCTCATTTCCTCGATTTGAGTATTGTCTTTTCCTTTTCCTTTTGCTTTTGACAATATCCATGCCGGCACTTGACAAAAACCAGCTACATCTCTCGTCATGTTTTGTTTTTTCGATGGACTTTTATGAAATCCGGTAGGTCAATGGTTCAATGTCTTCAATTTTTGAGACAAAGAAGAAGAAAGTGATCAGAGTGTGTTCTTGCTTTTGCTAAAACGTGCTCAACTTTACCTTAAACCATTATTTTTAATCTATCAATGAATCGATCAACTACGATATCCTTTCTAAACCCTCACAGAATCAGACAAAGAATTGAATTGAATAAAATTAGAGAAAAGAAAAGAGACACGTTTTAGAAAACGGATTAGAGACATTCTTTTACAAAAACAGTAATCTACAGAACCCTAAAGCAACCTACAGAACCCTAAAGCAACCTACAGAACCCTAAAGCAATCTACAGAACCCTAAAGCAGCCTACAGAACCCTAAAGCAATCTACAGAACCCTAAAGCAGCCTACAGAACCCTAAAGCAACCTACAGAACCCTAAAGCAACCTACAGAACCCTAAACCAACCTACAATAATCTAAACATACGATCGACTTCAAAGGACATATGCGATTAGTTCTGTTTAATGTGCTTTCTTTATTTTGTTAATTGTTTAACTACTAGCTGATCATGGCTTAAAGCTTTCTTAGAGTAGTTTAATTTTAATTTGATATTTTGAAAGCTAGACCATTTTTACCTAAAACTTTTGTAACAATGCTTTTGTCGGCGGAATTTGATTGAACTGACAGCCTGAGCGTGGATGAGCTACCGTACCCAGCTCCTCTGTTCACAAAATTCGACTTTAAATAGAGCTCTCACAGTGAAAAACTCTGTGTTCTTTTTTTACTCTAATTTCTTTGAAAAACCTTTGCTTCTAGATTTTATTCATTTCATTTGAACCATAAATTGTTTTAATTTAAGGTATTTATGTCCAAAGAGTACTATTTCGTCATAGTTGGCCACAACGATCAACCACTCTACGAGATTGACTTTCCGGTAGGTTTTTGCTTTTAAATTAGTCAAAGTTTCTTTAGAAATCAATATGGTTTTATAAATTTCTTTTAGGTTGGTGGTGAGAAGAAAAAACGCGATGAGACGAGACACCTCAATCAATTCATCGCTCATGCCGCACTCGACATCGTTGACGAGCAAATATTAGCCACTGGAAATATGTATTTAAAAGTAAGTATGTTTTTGGTACTTTGGTGGTTTGGAGGGGCCACTTTTATTCTGGCTTAGTTGGATCTAACGTTTTGAATGATTGTATTGATACTTTTTATCTACCTATTCTATGAGAATCAAAAATGCTTATACTTTTAGAGCATTTACAACATGTGTCAAGTTTCATATTGCTGCTTTTATTTGATTTTCAATTGTAAGCAGCTTTAAGCTAGCGTTTGGTGGTTAAAGTACATGAGATTAGGCTAGAATTGCCAAAAAACTTGCTCAACAATCTATTAAGCGTATTTGATTTCCCTAGACTACATAAAAGGTATCAATACAACCACTCAAAGCATTAGATCCAACGGAGCCAAGATAAAAGTGATGGTTAAAGTACATGAGATTAGGCTAGAATTGCCAAAAACTTGCTCACCAATCTATTAAGCATATTTAATTACCCTAAAATAGATAAAAGATCAATACAACCACTCAAAACATTAGATCCAACTAAGCCAGGATAAAAGTGGCCTTTCCCAACCACCAAAGTATTATGTTTTTTTGATTAGTTTCTATTGGGTGATTAGTTAATCGCTCATGCCGTACTTGACATCGTTGACGAGCAAATATTAGCCACTGAAAATATGTAATTAAAAGTAAGTATGTTTTTTGATTAGTTTCTATTGGGTGAATGCATATGAGATGGCTAATCCATGTCAATTTCTCCACCAGCGCAGCTATCTAATTTCTGTTTGGTTAGAATGGAAAGTTATGATCTTAAGCTAATAACAGCGGGGCAACTTTTCGATTCGGCTTGAAATGACGGAGAAACTTTTTGATCATTCGGGTCAACTCAACTTTGATGTTCTTTTAAGCCAAAGTTCTATTAGCTCGATATCTTTCTAATCAGTATGTTTCTATTTAAAGATTTCAGTGAATGAATATGTTTTTTTGACTTTTGAAAATAAGAAGCGATAAAGCCTGGGATTTCTTAATGAATTAGCTTTTTATTGAAAATGCTCATGAAAATCATGATTGCTTGAAATGGTTCCACAGCTGGGATCTTTCATCGTTGGTTAAAAAGCTGATTATTGCATAACCAGCAACAAAACAAATCATAAAAGAACTTTTTAGAATCTAGTGATTGGTTGGGGAAATCTGGAAAAATCTAGCCATTTCATATGCATTGGCCCAATAGTAAAAAAAGTCAACGTATATTATGTGTTTTTAATGGTGTTGATAATCGCTTTCAAGAGAACTATACAGGATTGATTTGTAAAACATTATTAGAAAGCTGCTTTTCATTTCAAAACGACTTTTGCAAGTTCTCATCTGGTATTTTTTTAGACAATCGACAAATTCAACGAATGGTTTGTCTCTTCATTTGTGACGGCAAGCAGAATACGTTTTATGATGTTGCACACGGTTAAAAACGAAGATGGAATTAAGCAATTTTTCCAGGTAGATAATTTGATTTTGATTTTTTTATAGCAACTGATATAGTGAAAAGGCAGGTTGCTGTACTATATTTTTTGTATTTTTGACAAAATGCGGTTGTGAAACTTTTACAATTACATTCAGTCAAGGTCGTTTAATCCTTGTGCAATATTATAGTTGTTGTTGTTCTAAAGTTGTTCAAAAGCAATTGTTCTTTTTTTAATTTATAGCTCTGACGCATATTTTCCTTGCAAAATCCTCTACTTTCAGGAAATCTACGAGACATTTGTGAAATTAACGATGAATCCATTCCATGAAATCAACGCGCCGATTCGATCGCCGGCTTTTGAACAGAAAGCAATTTACTACGGACGAAAGTATTTATCCTAAGGTTTGCGTCAATGTCTATTTGTGCATTTTTTTTGTTTGTGAACTAATTTTTGCGATAATAACGGGTATCTTTAATAAAGATTTATAATTGCCTTTAGAAACTTTAAAACACATGAAGTTTTAAGAGGATTGGGTAAGTTTAAAGGGAAATTCATCTATTTAAGCACCAAAGCCCTGCCGATGTGAGATCTTTGGAATTCTGGTAGCTTGTTTTTCTCTCCGCTCAAAAATTGGTTGTTTTTTTCGAACTCTTCTACTTCTCATTCTTCCCAAAAGGGCATTTGATTGCCACTTCTTTTTTGCCTTCGAGAAGCTGCCGAGTATTGATTTATTCTCTGAGTCAACCAAAAATAGACCCGGGCACCTTTCGAACCGGAAATCATGTCAATCGGCAATCGAACTTTTCGCGCTTCTTTGTCCTCTCCTTTGCCTTTCTTTTTGTTTCTTAACTCTTTAATTCCTGTTCTATTCGTAAACTCATGATTTTCCGAACTTTTGGCTTAAAGTTTTACATTTCAAATTTAGATTTGCTGAAGCTGCTCAAAGATGTGCAAGTGCCTTTTGCTCATTCTTTGCATTCTTTTCCCAGTCAGTTTTAAACAGCGGCTTATATGGGATAAGAATAAATCGGTGTTGTTGAAATAGTTTTTTGACTTTGGAATGCTAAAATTTATCTGCTTATTTTATTTTCTTTTTTTAGCCTTTGGCCGTGCTGATCCATTCGGGCTGTGACATCAACTTTTGCATTAACATTCTCTTCACGTTTCTTGCTTACATTCCTGGTAAGTTTTTTTTTGTTTAGAAACAGTTTTAAGCTTCCCAATGTGAATCTACATCCCTGCTTTTTGCAGGTAGATAAAAAACGTTTTTTAAGAGCTCGTTGAGCGTTGTAAAAAGATTAGGTAAAGATCGTTAAAGCTTTTAGACTTTAGTTGAGCGTTCAGAGAATATGGTTAAATGAAACAACATATATTTATCTACTGTTACATTATGTATCATTTCTTTAGGGATGATTCATGCAATCTACATCTGTTTCTACTACGAGCCCGCTGGAAGCGCCATCCGCAGATACTAAGAGTGCATGGTAAGCAGTTTCAGCAAGTAAAAATTTATGCTTTTGAAACAAAACAAGCGTCATTTTTACTTTTAGATGTCTGGAGCGTTATGGCACTTCCTCTACATGTTCAACAACTTACTACATCTAGATTCAATCAAATTATTTATGCATGCTTCATTTAAACATATCTCTAGCTTTTTTTTTTTGTAGAGAATCAAAAATCAAGCTTATATCCAAATTTTCAGAACCATTCAAAAACTAGCTATTGTTTAGCCTCAGTGCCCATAACTCTGCCAACAATTACTTTATTTTGAATTGTTCTTCTATTAGCTTTCTGTATTGTTTTATTCGTTGAAATCTGTAGACTGAAATTCCCCTTTTTCACATCTTTGGCAATCAGGATACTCAAAGCATTCAAGTCAATTGTTCATTTGTTCATCTGTTACGTGTACATAAACGGTTGGCTTTAGAGAGTTGAAAAAACGGTTGGCTTTACATTTACAAATTAATTGTTGTTATTCATTTGGCGACATTTGTCGTTCATTCGGCCAGCACTTGGAAAAATCGAGCCGATATAAATCTGAAAACGGCTAATGTTGAAGTGAAAAGTCGTTTGAGAGACCTTTCCCTGCTGGCTGATATCGTAGCTCGTGATCGACAAGTTGCATCCATCAATTTCGACCTGAAATTTTTGTAAACTAGTCCATTGTTCTTCATTCACATCACAAGTCTGTCTTCCCCTCCTCGAAAGGAAGCACATTGTGTAGAGAGCCAAATCGAATTCGGGACTCGTTCCAATCAACAGCGATCCCGAGCGTTTCATCTCGCTGTGCCACGAGAATTTGAGTGCGCCCATCAAATTCTAGAAAAGCTTTTCTATCAAATCAAATATCAAATCATAACATACTCCTCGTTTTACGAGAAATCCTTTGTAGTCGAATTGTTCAGTGGAGTTTCTCTCCAAATAATACATGCGAATCCAATTGTGCATCCCGGAGACTTCTCCATTTTTTGCTTCTCCCATGAAAACGTGCTCGAAACCGGAGGTATCCGCCAAGCCACGAGCTCTGAAAAAACTAGTTACAGTAATGGATTGGATTGGATTGGATTGGATTCAGTCTGATCCCAATTCTCTGTCAGTCTGGTCCTAATTCTTGAAGCTTACCTAGAGTAATGCACGAACCAAAGTTGAGCAATCCAGTAACGCCATGTGGTAGGATCCGAAGCAAATGGGTGTTCTGAAATTTGTGTCTGAAAATTCTTATACGGAAAGATGCGTAGATTTTTTTCTGTATTGCTGTATTTCTGTATTTCTTTATTGCTGTTATTTCTGTATTTCTGTATTTCTTTATTGCTGTATTTCTTTATTGCTGTATTTCTGGGGGCTAGTCAAAACAGCGCCATAATAGAAAACGTTCGAAACAGCGCGCCGTCAAATTTCTCAAAATCCAAAAAACCAAGCCGGTTCAAGTTTTATATCAAAAAATTCCTTGTCTTCTTGGCTAGATGATGGGTGAAACAGTTTTTTAAAAAAGTTAATATTTCATAGATAAAAAGAGCACTCAAAATGTGCGTCGAGTGAAACTCAGTTGGTTAACTGAATATCTTTAGAGGTTCGATATTTTTATCTATTAGCGACATGTCGAAAAGCGCAAGATGGCTCGATATTCGCGCGGTTAGATAATTAGTGCAATTCGAAACTTGGTGGTAAAAAACAACGATCCCTAGTAAGTGCGGTAGCTACAATTTGGTGAATTGGTATCCCTAGTAAGTGCGGTGGCTACAATTTGGTGAATTGGTATCCCTAGTAAGTACGATAGCTACAATTTGGTGAATTGGTATCCCTAGTAAGTGTGGTGGCTACAATTTGGTGAATTGGTATCCCTAGTAAGTGTGGTGGCTACAATTTGGTGAATTGGTAGCCCTAGTAAGTGTGGTGGCTACAATTTGGTGAATTGGTAGCCCTAGTAAGTGTGGTGGCTACAATTTGGTGAATTGGTAGCCCTAGTAAGTGCGGTGGCTACAATTTGGTGAATTGGTAGCCCTAGTAAGTGCGGTGGCTACAATTTGGTCGAGTGAAAACTCAGTTGGTTAACTGAATATCTTTAGAGACCCATTTTGAGTGCTCTTTTTATCTACGAAATATTAACTCTTTTAAAAAACTGTTTCACCCATCATGTAGCAAAGAACGCAAGGAATTTTTTGATCTAAAACTTGAACCGGCTTGGCTTTTTTGGACTGTGAGAAATTTGACGGCGCTGTTTTGAACGTTTTCTATTATGGCGCTGTTTTGACTACCCCCCGGATTTCTGGATTGCTAGGTAAGATGTTTTGCTTATCTAGAGTTCAGCTAGATTTTCCCTAATGAAAATTCTTATACTGAAAGACGCGTAGATTTTTCTGTATTGCTAGGTAAGATGTTTTGCTTATCAGCTAAGTTCAGCTAGATTTTCCCTAATAAAAATATAGCAAAATCGAATTGAAATACGATTTTGAAAGCCAAATTACTTCTAGGTTTTAAAAATTAAAAACATTTCTTAAAATTTCTGTAACCAAATCGATTTTCTTTAGCGTTTTTCTCTCTCTCTTGCGTAACTCCCTTGTTGTTTTTTGGTGGAAAAAGCCGACCCACCGACTTTTCACCCTTTTCTCGCTGCCACCGTCTCAAGGCCGCGTGGCGCAATGGATAACGCGTCTGCCTACGGAGCAGAAGATTGAAGGTTCGAATCCTTCCGTGGTCGAGATCTTTTGCATTTTCTTAGAAAAAAAAAGCAAAAAAACTCACGATTCTTGTGGAAATACTCGTACAACGTTTTCCAGGGTTTCGTTTGGAAAACGAGATCGATAAACTGAGTGGTTTCCGTTTTTTCCTAGAAAAAATCGATTGATTTATTTGAAATCACTTCTACTTCTTGATTTGTCACTTTCGGCTCTTTGATTCCGGTTTGGCGCTCGAAATTGTTGCACATTTTCAAGAATTGCTCGTAAGTTGATTTCCGGAGGAGAGATTGATCGACTTTCGTGAAAAATCTAAATGAGGATATCGTTGTTTTTCGCTTTTCACAAACTTTCCATCAGCGTTATCCTGACTGTCACGGGTTGAGGTGTGGCCTTGGAAATTCACGATAATCTGGAAGAGACTTTGGTTTAGAGTTTCATGATTTCTTTCTAACTATTTAAGGGATCAAGATCAAGTCAGAGGTTCAGTTTTGTCTTGATTTATCGGGTTGGTGAATTGAAAACTGCGGGCTATTGTCATATGTGACAGTTCTCACACTTTCTTCAAAAGAAATCCATTTTGGTGTCAATAGAAAAGTTGCAGAGAATCAAAAATCAAGCTTATATCCAAATTTCCAAAAAGATTTTCCTTTTAAAGCTTAATTTTCGCGCAACGTCGCATTCCAATTGACGTCGCCGCCATTTGGAGGTAGTTGATGGGAGCGCCGCGTCGTCGTTTCTTTTTTGTTTTCAAATCATTTGCTTTGTCAGATTCGATTGAAAGTATTGTTTTACTTGTTTTTTTTTGTTTATTGTTTTATTGATAAATTTTGTGTTAAAATGAGAAAGCAATCAATTTCTATTGGGTTGGTGAATTGAAAACTGCCGGCTATTGTCATCTGTGACAGTTCTCACACTTTCTTCAAAAGAAACCCATTTTGGTGTCAATGGAAAAGTTGTAGAGAATCAAAAATCAAGCTTATATCCAAATTTTCACAAGACTGCATTCGAAACGAAACTACTAATCTTTTTGGAAATTTGGCTATAAGCCTCATTTTTGATTCTCTACAACTTTTCTATTGACACCAGAATGGGTTTCTTTTGAAGAAAGTGCTCAAACTGGGCTGACGGCTGACATCTCCAGTCCTCCATTCTTGAGTCTCACACTTGTCTCACACACAAACCAGAATCCTACGACGAAAGAGGGATCCGCAAATTGCCTGTAAAATGGGCAGAAGTCGTCAATAATAATGGAAATTATTTGGAATGAATTCATGGCTTTATGTTGAATAAATTTTAGTTCAAAGTCCTGCAGTTTTCAATTCACCAACCCAATGGTTTTGGATTCAGTTTTGGATTTGGTACAGATTCGGCTCCTTCGGTAAAGCTTTGGTTTCTTTTCGGTAAAGCTAGGTTTTCAAATCACCAACCCAATATTCAAGATCAAGTCAGGGGTTCAGTTTTGTCTTGATTTACAAATCAACAGCGTCCGATTGAAACATTCTTTTTTCCTTCCAAGTTTCGGCGTCTAATATTGGGCTGAGGAGAATGACATGGTGAAGAAAATCATAGAAATTTCGAAAAAAATTATATCAATAGAAAGATTAACGAATTCTCTACAAAATAGCCTTTAAAAGAGAACTCAAACAGCGCCCCAGCTCAAAGTTTCATTCTTTCATAAAATCTTTAAACAGTCACCAAGAGAAAACGGTTAAAGGGATTTTGCTGTAAATTTGACAACTTATGTAATGAAGTGTGCTCTATCTTTTTCATTGAGACATTAAAGAAGGTTTATGCGGAAGAAACTCGTCAAACGATGCCATTTTCACTAGCTACTTTTTGGGAGTCGATAAACTCTAGGAAAAAAGCTTTATAGAAGCTTTGAAAGCTCATTTTATAGACAAATAGTGAAGTCTTTTAAGCCTGAAAATACAAATAGTGAAGCCTGAAAGAAAACGTGGATTTAAAGAAGACTTTACGAAGGAGAAAGTGGGTTTAAAGTTCGGCCGAATTTCGACTCCAATAGAACTTCGACTTTCGAGCAAGAATGACTCTAATTAGCCTTAAACTGGCCAACCAAAAGACAAATCTGTGTCTGTGACAAATCTGTGACAATCTGTGACAAATCTGAACCCAATTTCTGACTTGATTGGCTTATCCGATCGAAAAAACTCTCGCTATGATATCATTTAATCAAACCTGTCCTTTCTTCGCTTTATTCTCGTCTTGTGCTCTCAACTGATCAGCTAACTTCAAGATATCGCTGTTTGAGATCGAAAAATCTGCAAACGTTTGCTTTTTGAAGTTCAGATTGTTTGATTTTGTCTTACTAAACTGTTTCAACGTAATAACTATTTTCTAAATCCGATCTTGCTACAAAAAGTCGTAGAATTCTAAGCAGCTCCCGTAGAATTCTAAGCAGCTCCCGTAGATTCTAAATATGTACCGTTGAACTTCGAAATAACGAATCGCTCGAGAAACTTCAATATAATGAACCTGCCGCAAATTTTCTGCCCTGGACGGCCACTGATTGCATTTGACTGAGGCAGTTACGCAGTTACGCCAGCTTTAAGCAGGCTTTAGAATTTCAAACCTATTTAGTTCCTTGATAATTCCTATTTGGTTCACCGAAGTTCAACTGGATTTTTTATTTTTCCCCATCGAGTTTTCGAGAAAAACGTGCTCAAGCATTTTGAAAATATTTGACCGCAATCTATAAGAGGGTGCTATTACACCAAAAGCAGCGCCTGCCTAGAGTCTAGTCTACTAGACTCTAAAATCGAGGCCAGGGTTCGATTCCGCTGTCTGCCAAAACTCAAACTCCTTCCTTTTCTTGCTTCAGTTCTTTTTGTGAGCATTGGATACCATTTTGAGCCATGCTTTACTGAAAGGAAATGCAGAATATCCTGAGAATTCAGTGAACCAAGTAAATTTGTTTATCTTAACAAAACCCAACAAAAACTATGAAAACTAAGCAAAAGAAAAATCGAATTTTCTTCTAAATCTAAAAATCGAATACTTGGAATCGTCTCAGCTGTCTCTGCCGCTTCATAAAAACCCAGAAGAAAGAGTGAGCACAGAGAAAATTGAATCAATGGGATCATCTGAAATTTTTTTCAAAATAACTTTATCTTAAAAATTACAAAAAAACGAACAAGTGAAAGTGTCAATATTAGCAAAATGAAAAGGAGAAAAAGAGATTTTTGATGAAAAGGGGGAAAAGAGAAAAGAGAAAACAGAGAACAGGGGGAAATAGAGGAAATCGATTAAATGATCAAAGAAAAAAAGCCTAAATTTCTTTTTGGTTCTGTCAAAATCTTTGGATTGAGTGTGTAAAATTTTTGCTCAAAGCCGGAAATTTTTCCTTGTGTGCATGTGTTCGCATTTTCAGTGTGTTTACGATTTGGATGGGGGAAAAAGAGCATGAGGTTGACCATCTGTGAGCTTTCGTTTCGCTTTAAGAGAAAAAGAAGGGACAGCTTGAGCCAAGTCAAGCATTTCGAGAGCTTTTGATTAGAGGAAAATCGATGATGAATTGTTGGGGAATTTGAAAGCGAAATTGGTGGTAAACTTGAAAAAAGCAACTTGTCCAGGTTAGGACCAGGTTTTGCTTCCACTACACCTCACCTCACCCTCCTTTGGCTTAACGCATTCGCTGTGACGGCGCTTTGCGCAACTGTACAGTTGCGTAGTCGTCCACCACTGTTTTATCGATAACTTGATGAGCAGGAAACTAAATTATTATAGTCATTCGATAGCTTTGAATCTCCTCTTGAAAATTAGTACAAAGTTACTAAGAACTTTTTGCGAAGTAAATAAGAAAATTCTTAAAAACTTGAGCAAAAATAATTTGTCATTGTACAAGCCGTCGGTGCACATCCGCGCGAAATGTTAGCAAAAATGTGATCGCCGTGGATTTTGCTTGCGATATACGATATTCGATGCAAAAAAGTATGCTGAACACGAATTTGGAAGGATTTTTCTAATCCGTCTGATTTTTAATTCCAAAAAGCCGAAAAAATCATCATTTTTACATTAAAAACTAAAAATGACATCTATTCGTTCCTAGGAGTAAACGGATATGGACTAGAAGATTTGGGTGAAGTTAAAGAGAGTGGATCCTTTTGACATCCCGAACACCCCGACAACCCAACTCAGCTCCTCCAACGTATTAGAGGGGAGTCCCTGTGAAATGACCGACCTGAATTGCAGCTGCATAGACCCGGAAGATATGTATCTTTATTTACAGTAGTACGATAAGTCGAATAGATTACAAATGAGTGAAAGGGGAAGAAGGGACTCCAAGTGAGAGTTCACTTGTCCTCCTAGGCAATCCCAAGGATCGCGCTTTCTCGGCGATGAAAGTGATAAGCACAGGGGAGAACACATTTGCATAAGAATAGACAAATCATTCAATGATAACAATAGTAACTAAAATATCAGTTTGGCTCGGAGCTGACACATCCTTTTAAGGGGTTAATTCTCGGTGCTGATGGGATATCACAAAATTCTAGCTGATAATTTTTATGGATAAGTGTATTGCACACATTTTTAGACCAAAAACATACGGATTGATCAACTCTGAAGAAACTTATAACACTTTGCACCTGAAAATATACATTTCGAGTGTCCCTCTTTTGCCCCCCTAAGTGTCCCCCTCAAAGTGTCCCCTTTTTGTCCCCCTAAAGTGTCCCCCCCCTAGTATCCCCCATTTTTTTCATATCAAATCACAACTTTTTGCTCTCCAAATGTGCTTTAACTTTTTAAACTCAATGATCGGCAAATGCATCGAACTCGAAACATCTTAAACGGAAAAATTTTAAAAGTTAAAGCACATTTGGAGAGCAAAAAGTTGTGATTTGATATGAAAAAATAGGGGGATACTAGGGGGGGGACACACTTTGAGGGGGACACTTAGGGGGGCAAAAGGGGGACACAGGGGGGGGGGCACTCGAAATGTATACCTGAAAATGACTTTCTGCGCGCTAAATTGTGGATAAATTACACGAACAACCAAAAAAACGAGACGGAATCTGACATTGTAAGTAAAATAAAATAAATTATATTAAGGTTGCCGGTACGGGTGAAAAAGGGGAATTTCAGTCTACAGATTTCAATGAATAAAATAATACAGAAAGCAAATAGAAGAACAATTCAAAATAAAGCAACTGTTGGCAGAGTTATGGGCACTGAGGCTAAACAATAGCTAGAGATACGTTTAAATGACGCACCGATAAATAATTGATTGAATCCCGATGTAGTACGTTGTTGAACATGTAGAAGAAGTGCCATAAAGCCCCAAAAACCTAAAAGTAAAAATGAAGCTTGTTTTGTTTCAAAAGCATACATTTTTACTTGCTGAAACTGCTTACCATGACCATGCACTCTAGTATTTGCGGATGGCGATTCCAGCGGGCTGGTGGTAGAAGCAGATGTAGATTGCATGCATCGTCCCTAAAGATATGATACATAATGTAACAGTAGATAAATATATGTTGTTTCAATTAACCATATTCTCTGAACGCTCCACTAAAGTATAAAGCTTTAACGGTCTTTACCTAATCTTTTTACAGGAACTCCATCAATGAACGTGAAGAGAATGTTAATGCAAAAGTTGATGTCACAGCCCGAATGGAGCAGCACGGCCAAAGGCTAAAAAAAGAAAATAAAGTAAGCAGATAAATTTTTGCATTCCAAAGTCAAAAACTATGTCAACAACACCGACTTATTCTTATCCCATATAAGCCGCTGTCCAAAACTGACCGGCAAAGGAACGCAAAGAAGGAGCAAAAGGCACTTGTACATCTTTGAGCTGCTTCAGCAAATCTAAATTTGAAATGTAAAACTTTAAGCCAAAAGTTCAGTAGATCATGAGTTTACGAATCGAACAGGAATTAAAGAGTTAACAAACAAAAAGAGAGACAAACGAGAGGGCAAAGAGGTTCGATTGCCAATTGTGTAAGCGGGACACTGTCACAACATCGCGAGGTATTCACACACAAAGCGAGCGAATCGAATGAATCTTTTTTGATCGATGTGCGTTGATTTTGCTTAAAACTATTGCAACAGAGATATATTGGAGCGTGCCTAAAAAAGGTAACGTTAAGGTTTAAATCGATGCTTACAAAACTCTGCCACAAATGAAAAATTTGCGTGAAAACGAGAATTTAGACTTGAGCAAAAATAAGCGTCAAATAATTTACATCGGCTCGATTTTTCCAAGTGCTGGCCGAATGACCGACAAATGAATAACAACTATCAATTTGTAAATGCAAAGAATCCCTAAAAATAACCGTTTATGTACGCGTAACAGATAAACAAATGAAATATTGACTTGAATGATTTGAGTATCCTGATTGCCAAAGAAGTGAAAAAGGGGAATTTCAGTCTACAGATTTCAACGAATAAAATTTATGGACGAATAAGAATCAGTTTTCAACGAATAAGTGACACCGAGGCTAAACAATAGCTAGAGATACGTTTAAATCACGCACGGATAAATAATTTGATTAAATCTCGATGTAGTACGTTGTTGAACATGTAGAGGAAGTGCCATAAAGCTCCAGACATCTAAAAGTAAAAATGACCTTGTTTTGTTTCAAAAGCATAAACTTTTACTTGCTGAAACTGCTTACCATGCACTCTAGTATCCGGTTGGAGCGGACTGGTGGTAGATGGCGGTTCCAGCGGGCTGGTGGTAGAAGCAGATGTAGATTGCATGAATCATCCCTAAAGAAATGATACGTAACGTAACAGTAGATAAATATATGTTGTTTCATTTAACCATATTCTCTGAACGATCAACTAAAGTCTAAAAGCTTTAACGGTCTTTACCTAATCTTTTTACAACGCTCAACGAGCTCTTAAAAAACGTTTTCTATCTACCTGCAAAAAGCAGGGATGTAGATTCACATTCGGAAGCTTAAAACTGGTTCTAAACAAAAAAAACTTACCAGGAACGTAAGCAAGAAACGTGAAGAGAATGTTAATGCAAAAGTTGATGTCACAGCCCGAATGGATCAGCACGGCCAAAGGCTAAAAAAAGAAAATAAAGTAAGCAGATAAATTTTAGCATTCCAAAGTCAAAAAACTATTTCAACAACACCGATTTATTCTTATCCCATATAAGCCGCTGTTTAAAACTGACCGGGAAAAGAATGCAAAGAAGAAGCAAAAGGCACTTGCACATCCTTGAGCAGCTTCAGCAAATCTAAATTTGAAAAGTAAAACTTTAAGCCAAAAGTCCAGAAAATCATGAGTTTACGAATAGAACAGGAATTAAAGAGTTAAGAAACAAAAAGAGAGGCAAAGGAGAGGGCAAAGAAGCGCGAAAAGTCCGATCGCCGATTGTGTAAGCGGGACACAAAGAGAGCCATAGCCACAACATCGCGGCACATCCACACACAAAACGAGCGAATTGAAAGAATGACTCATTTTTGATCGAGATGCGTCGACTTTGCTTAAAACTATTGCGACAGAGAAATATTGGAGGGTGGGAAAAGCGAACGTTAAGGTTCAAATCGATGCTCACAAAACTTTGCCACAAATGAAACATTTGCGCGAAAACGAGAATTTATAGTCTGCTTTTGAATGTTGGCTGAATAGGTTAAAAGTTAGCTATTGATTAAAAGATATTCAGCCTTATAACGAAATAACCACTGTTTAGCAAAAATGATATACAGGATGGGCCAAAATTACGGTTACGATGCTCAAATGAGCATATCTTCAAACTTGTGCTGCTTTCTAATTTTTCTGTTAATATTATTTATTGTTCAACATGTCATAAGAATGTTTATTTTTAGAATGGTTCAAGCATCATCGCATCGAGGATCGATGATCGCGCTGCGCAAACTGGAACTCTCAGCGAGTGAGATTGCAAAACGTCTCAAAGTGTATCGAATGCTTGTGCATCGAACAATCTAACGCTTCAAGACCTTGGGAACGGATTCTGATCGACCAGGGCGTGAAAGAAAGCGAATGGTAACAACTTCAGCAAATGTCAAAAAGGTGAGGGGTCGGTTGTTAAAAACTTGGTTCTTTTCCAATATCGGGGGAGCGAAAGGAAAATCGGGGAAGCAAATTTTGGCAGCGCTACAAATGTCCTATTTAAAATTGTGATGAACGGGAGCTTGCTTTGTTGCAAAAAGTTATCGACTCGAATTCCTCTTGAATGCTTGGGGATCTTTTGCCGTGCGCAAGCGTCACATACCTTTTGTACAGTAAAACTGCAGTTAGGACAGATAGGTACAAAGAGATAAGATAACTACAGATAGATAGAAAGTTTTAAATATAGAACAGATTTAACATGGCAATAAGGTCTAATTCATAATTCTAATTGTTCAACATGTCATAAGAATGTTTATTTTTAGGATGGTTCAAGCATCATCGCTTCGAGGATCGATGATCGCACTGTGCAAACAGGAACTGATTGTGAGATTGCAAACCTCTTCGCCACGGTCGACGCTTTTCCACGTCGTTTGCACGCCTGTGTAAAAGCTAATGGAGATCAGTTTGAAAAGAAATAGTTTTTATGAATTGTTATGAGACAATAAAAGCTATTTTTAAGGAAAATCTTTGACCCTTTGAATTGTTTTTTATACTGTTTTTTTTAAAAAAGTCTTTTTATATGTAACGGTGATTTTGGCCCACCCTGTAGTAAATGTGCCATCAACAATCCACGCATTTTCACCGTTATTTCGAGCGGATTTGCATCGTCTAAGTAGTTCCAACGTCGAACTAACATCAATATCTATATCTTTAAAGAAATAAGCTCCCGTCTGGTATGTTCTGTAGGAAAATTTCAAAGTATTTGCAAATGAATTAGATATTATTGCCATGTTAAATCTGTTCTCCTATTGAAAAATTTCTATCTATCTGTAGTTATCCTATCTTTTTGTTTTTTTTATATGTCGTAGCCGTTTACGAAATTTAACCGCTAACGAATGATTCATTAGCGGCTGAATTTCGTAAACGGCTACGACATATATAAAGATCACAAGTGATTTGTGACAAACAATTGACGCATATAGATTGTTTTCTCAAATGTTTCTTTCAATCCTTTTCTCCACACGTCTCTCCGTCTATAGGGATTTTTTTTCAGGTCAATGAACTTTTTATGCCAATTTCTGTAGGTGAGGCTCGAGATTTGGCTTACTTTTCCGCACACAAATCAACAATAGCTCGATGGGAGAGGGAAATTTGAAGAAGTGAAGCCAGTTTTCAGTGAGATCCCAAATAGGGAAAAGAAGAAAGGGAAAGCCTCTCTTTTTTTAGCTCTTTTAGCCCGATTCCGATACATTCAGTGAATCCTTTTCACAGATCAATCCGGTCCTTCACTGAATATCCGATCGATTTCTTCGTGATTTCATTGAGTTGAAAAAGAGATTTTGAAATAAGATTTGCAATCATTCTTTAGCAATATTCTTTTTCATGGTTTTTCATTGTTTTTCATCATTTTCTCTTTCAAATTCTCCAAAATTATCAAAAAATTCTTTATTTAATTGATAATTCATTAAAATTTTAATACTTTTACATTTTTGTTTAGCCAATTAAAATAAAATATATTTAAATTTTCTTTTAATACCTAAATTAATCTTTTTTTTAACGATATTTAATGATTTTTTTGCGTAAATGATCCAGTTGCGTAAACGATTCAGTTGCGTAAACAATCCAGTTGCGCAAAAGATCCAGTTGCGTAAACGATTCAGTTGCATAAACAATCCAGTTGCGTAAAAGATCCAGTTGCGTAAACGATTCAGTTGCGTAAACGATCCAGTTGCGTAAACGATCCAGTTGCGTAAACGATCCAGTTGCGTAAACGATTCAGTTGCCCTTTTATAGACCTTTTCAAAAGTTTTCCGGTACTTTAATGCTTCTTCCGATACCTTTATCTTCCATTTTTTCACTTTTCTAGGGGTAATCAAGGACGCTGAACACGAATTTGACACTTTTAGCATAGATTTTCAATTGAAAAACCGCCATTTTCGACATTTCAACACGCTCAAAATTATCCTTTGCTTTTACACTTTAAATTTGTGTATTCAAGACTATTGGGACACTTCTCAAGGACAAAACTAGAGCCAAAACCATTTTAAATAACAAAATATTCACTTTCTAACTGAAATTAACTGATAGAGGCAAAAGAAAATAAAATTTTTTTTTGAGATTTTGACTTATGTGGGGGACCATATGGTCGAAATTTGAAAATTAAAAAAAAAAATTTTGCTTTAATTTGATCAGAAACGTAATTAGTAGCCGCGGAAAGTTGACTTAAAACGCATTTTCTCAATTTCTCGTCTTGTTTTTCGAAATCTATGCATAAAATTATCCCAAACAAAGTGGTTTTGAAGAGAAAAAAGTGCTCCCCGCAACGGCTAGAAGGGGAATTTGTCTGTACAACAGTTTTCAACAACCGACCCCTTACCTTTTTGACATTTGCTGAAGTTGTTACCGTTCGCTTTCTTTCACGCACTGGTCGATCAGAACCGATTTTTCAATTTGTCGAAATGTTTGGCTTTTTTTATTCAAGGGGAGGGGAATAAAAGCGATTCAGATAATCATATCCGCATATTAAATATTGCTACAATACTTTCATAAAAGAAAGAAGTTGAAAATCTGATGATGATGATGATGATGATGATGATGATGATGAAAGATACTTTATTCAGGAAATGAAATCAAATGCGCAAGCTGAATTCATACACGTAAACACGAAAAGGATCGATAAAAAGCAACACGATGTAATGGATGTCTGGGTAGCACAGATAACGTTTACTGTTTGCTAAAATCACAGATAACGATCGTCAAGAATCCACAGAGTAGTACAGATAACGTCAAGGATCCATTAGAGCTTCAAGATCAAGCTCAAGATCATCTCAAGAACAGATAATTTAAAGCTTTCGAGACTATTAGACTCTCTAAAAACTCTCGAGAGTTGATTCCAAATTCTGGCATTTCTTATTGGAAAAGATTTATACAAAAACCTATGCTAAAAGTGTTAAATTCGTGCTCAGCTGTTTGCTAACGTTTACTGTTTGCTTAAATCACAGATAACGATCGTCAAGGATCCACAGAGTAGTACAGATCACGTCAAGAATCCATTAGAGCTTCAAGATCAAGCTCAAGATCAAGCTCAAGATCAAGCTCAAGATCAAGCTCAAGATCAAGCTCAAGATCATCTCAAGATCAAGCTCAAGATCATCTACAGATAATTGAAAGCTTTCGAGACTATTAGACTCTCTAAAAACTCTCGAGAGTTGATTCCAAGCTCTTAATACACATAAACACGAAAAGGATCGATAAAAAGCAACACGATGTGCAGCTGGCAGCTCTTTTTAGAAAAGAGTTATACAAAAACCTATGCTAAAAGTCTAAAATTCGTGCTCAGCACACTCGATTAACAAGAGAAAAGTGAAAAAATCAAAAATATAGATGGCCTCCCCTCTCCCAAACCTATAAAGTACCAGTTTTTCATTTTTAAAACTATCAATACACTTTCAGCTTTCCCCAATAACCTTTTTCCTTTCTCGTTCCAAAACTGGTTTCATTTGAGCTGCCTTTTTTCGTTTATTGAGGCAAGTTTTTCTTTTTTTTTTTGACAAAAACTCTTTCATTTCTATCCCATTTTATGCAAATTTATTGTAATTTACAAATTTGTTAACAAAAATTAACAAAAAAAACCTGTTTTCTTGATAATTTAACTCGAAAATCGTTTTCTAATTGAATTTTTTGATTGTCAATCAATGTCGAAGTCGAAGTCGAACAATGAATGAATCGAAATTGCTTTTTACGATGTAAAAATCATTTACCCAACTCGACGCACTCTCGTAAGACAAAAAGGAAAACAAAAACTTTCAGTTTTATCCATTAAAGAACATTAAGACGTTTCCTTTAAACAAATTCATTTTCATTTTTTTCCATTTTTTTCATTTTTTTCTTTTTTTTTCTTCTTTACTTTGACTTTTCTTATTGAAATTTGATTCTTTCAATTGTTCTTTATGTATTGGGTTATCCATTATTGGGTGTGTGTCTAAATAGTGTCCAAATAGTGTCCAAATAGTGTCCAAATATTGGGTTGTTTCCATTTATGAATGCGCCTTTTTTTACTATTTTGTAAATTTCTCAAGATACCGAAATCAAGAAAAAGATATCTATGAGTATTATTCGAAAGCTGAAGATCTCCTCTACATT